GCCGGAGCGCCACGGCGGGAGGTGAAGGGGGGGCGCGAAGAGGGGAGGGGCAGTGACATTCACGGCCAGGCCCCGCTCCCTGGCCATGTACATCACCGCCCCGCCCCCCTTCCCCTCCCGCCGCGGCACTCGGCTGACTTCTGCGCCGCTCAGCCAAGCTGCCGGGTGGGAGCAAGTGGCCGTTTGGGCTCCGCACACCTCATGCAGCACGGGCCACCTAGAGGGAACAGCCAACATTTTAGCGTTGCAGACTCACAGACATTGGGCTACTTTCTAATAAATGACACATAAACCCATTGAGAATTCTTGTGGTATCAAAATGTATGCAATAGATTGTTTTACATTGTCTCTAGGATGCTGTCAACTGCTGTAATACTGGTAAAAAGCCAAGAATGGGATCTGCAGATGCCCTTCTACATGGAACAAAGGATGAGGGTTGAATACATTGGTCTGTGCTGTAGCCCTGTGTGCTGTAATTATCACATCAAGTAAACTCCCAGATTCCTCTTGCAGAAGAACCAGTGAGTGGTCAGCTCAGTCGAGTTCTGATGGCCTCAGTATGGTTTCTTTTCAGCCAGTTAGCATAGGCTATGTAAGGAATAAGAGCAGAGAATAAATTTGTTGCCACTGGTCACCCTAGAGAGAACTCATTGCAGCTGGATGTGAGCATCAGTCAGGATGTTAATGTAACCCATACACATACTGAGTGTGGTTCACTGCCCCATGTAGTGGCACTTAGACCACTTACAGAGAAAGGACAAATGAGTGTGCTCTCTCCGGTCTGAGGTGAGAGCTAGCTGGCTTTTAGTTTTAGTAGAGGCTCGTGCACTGCACTCCAGAGGTCCTAGGTTCAGTTCCATCTGTTGGTGTTATACTGTTACTCGTAAAGGTGCTGTTCTCAACTTCCACTGGTTTCTCTGGAGTTAAAGGGGCTCAGCACCTCCAGCAGATGATCAGAACTCTGTAGAATGGAGCTTGTGACGCTAGTGAGTGCTGGCTCTGGAATGTTGCTTAGGTGCCTATGTTCACTCAGGTGATATAAGATACAGGGTTTTTTGCTAATGGTAGTCTTATGGCAGGTTTCCAAAGCTGCTTGCTGAACATTTATCCCTTTGGTTCTGACAAACTATATAAGACTCAGAGAGCTCCATGACCAAGTACTGTATGTTTAAATCCAAGCTATCTGGTCTGAACAGATCCCTAAAAGCCATAATCTAGCCTAGATTTGGGTATGCAAATCCTATTGACATCAGTGGTTGTTGCCACAGGGGGCCTAAGGGCAGTATAGAAAGGATAAAAATGGTTTTAGAAAGGGCAGCTAAGCAATAAAACAAAACAACAAAACAGAGGGCAGTTAACATTTACATGTATATTTAATCAATAGTAAAAAAAATTATCAGTATGTATTGTGGAATTCTATTTTAATTGATCTTTTCAGGCTGCTCTCGTTTTATTCTATTCAAACGTTCACTCTAACCCAGTCCATAAAGAGTGAACTTTCTAAATAAGAAAAGAAAATTTTCATCCTGCAATGGCAGAGTGAATTCTATTAGGGGTTTTCAATGCTGAGAACAGTCAGTCTCTATCTGCAGCCAAGCAACACTCAGAGATGCTAAATTCGTTCCGATCTTTGGAAACGACAAGAAAAAAAATCAAAGAAATTATCTCCAATTTGAGTCTTACAACCAAATACCCATTGATCATAAGCACAGGGCAAGCACCTCAGCATCAATAGGGAATTGCTGTTAGAAAACAAGATGCAAGTCATATATGTCTAAGCTATCTATTCTTTCTGTCTAGTGGTTTTGCTAAAACATCTGTCACTCTGGTAGATAAGAGGTAATCGATACTAACAGTGATTAAAAAATATTTGTCTTTGATTACATAGCTAATCCCTGGCATGTGCTGGTGTTTTATCATATACATATATCTCTTCAGATGACGAAGCAGAGGGTGGAGAAATATCATCTGAAGCCATGATGGAAAATCCAGAGACAGAAGGAAAAAACAGTGATGCCTAATCTCAACAGATTGCTGGATTTACAATGTCCATCAACAGACTTTACAAATGTTCTGCTTCTGGCAGGTTCCAAACCCTAGTAGAAACTGTAGTGGTCTGGGCAGTACTATGCAACACAGTTGTATCTGGATGATATTAACTTGCAGCTACTAATTGGGGTTTTTGTGCTGATTTTCTACTGTAGTCCATCAAAAAGCAAGTAATTTTCAAATCACAAACAGGAAAAAGCTAAAGAATGTGATTTTTTTTTATTGTTGTCGGTTACACTGTATTGATACTAATCCAACCAAACCCTTTTTGACAGTTTCAATGATTATGGTAAACAGTTGCACAAAACATAATAATCATGCTAAATATAACTCATTAATTTTCCAAATTATTATTCTCAGTGGCACCAAGTCTTGTTTCCTATAGAAAATAAGATTATGTCAAGCATTTTGGGATACAGAGGGAAAGGGGAAGTTTCTTGTCTTTAAAGACAGAAGAACCCCATAGATCCATGATGTACAAACTTTGGGAATCTTCTAAGTCTTTTGTTCCCTCTGGGAAAAGAAATGGGGTGAAAAAGTCTGAAACACGTTTTCTCCTTCTCTTTCCCAAAAAGTTCCATATGCTTCTTAAAACACCAATAGCTTTTTTTAAGAGCTCTTCAGTTTATTCAGGCATATCCATGGGCAGATAATCTCTGGGTTATTCCATTCCCCACAATGATACTACTACTTTCTGTACACAGCCTCAATACTCTATTTGTTCATATGTATCTAAAATAAAATAGCACCAAGTGGTTTAAATTGTTTAATCTCAACATGTCTATTAAATAGATTACCATCTCTTTTGTCTTCTTGAATCCTTGATGTTTCTCCTGTATGGCAAGGAATGAATCGTAAGTACAATAATACACAATGCTTGTGTTTCATTTGTGGGTTTTGGTTTGTCTGTTTACAACAGAGCTATTCCAGGCATTGTGGCTGGACATAGATATGAAACCTATTTAAACAGAGACTCTCTGCTTGCACTAAAAGATCATCCATGTTTTATTATAAAGATTGTATCCCTGAAAATACTGTGTGTATATATCCTTTTATTATTCAGGATAAAATTCACATAAATTCATGCACCTGTTTTGGAATATGAGTCAATAGTCATCTGAAATTCTTACAAAGACATAGAGTGCAGCTAATTTAAAAAAATCAGGCACGTGTATTTGCATCCTGCGTCTCTACTGGAGTGTAACTTACAGTTACACCAATCAGTAGATTGGAATATACCAGTAGATCTTGGAGCCTCTGATAGGTGATCCTGACTGTTTTGGCCAGGAAGCTATCAAGTGCTGGCACTTCGGTTGCCCCTTCACTCACTGTCATGCTGCTCCTGCCCTCTGCCTTGGTGTCTCCTGCTTGCTGTGTTGGAGGGAGAATCAGTGGGGCACTGATGTCAAGTTGTCCCTCCTCACCCCACTTCTGTACCCTGTTGCCACACAGAGAAAAGGGGGTGGAGAGAGCTTGTCAATGTCACTCTCACACATTGCATGTATGTCATTCTCACAAACATGCACTATCTTTCACTCTCATCTCCCAACCCAACACACACATGTGTGTGTGTGGGGAGATGGGGTTGTTACTTCTATTACTGCTTGCAAAGTGGGTTATTTTTGGGTTTTGACTGTTCTGTGCATTTCATAATTTTCATTTCTCTCTTACATTTACATTTAATTATTTGATTAATGAGTTCTAAAATGCCTAACCTGTTGTGGCTGGAGTAATTATCCCTGTGGTTATTGCTGCTCTTGGAAGTGATTGGCATGTCCCTGCAGCCCCTGAGAAAGGCAGAGCAAGAGGTCTCCACATGCTGTCCTTGCCTGCAGACACCACTCCTGCAACTCCCATTGATCAGTAACTGGGAACTGTGGCTAGTAGAAGCTGTGGGCTCAGTGCCTGTAGATGAGGGACACCACATGGTGCCATGGAACCATTGCTGTACATTCCAGCTGCTTTCAGAGTGGTGCGGGACCATGGCAGGAGTCAGCCTGCCTTAACTCCACTGCTCCACCACCAGAAAACTGTTTCAATTAAAAGGTGCCCAGCCAGAGTCTGCTTCCTGAATCCCTGTCCCCAGCCCTGAACCTCCTCCTGCACCCAACCTCCTGCCCCAGACGTGAGTCCCCCTGCACCCAAACTCCTTCCCAGAGCTTGCATCCTCAATCCCCTCCCCCAGGATAAGCCTGGAGCCCCTCCCACATGCCAAACCCCTTGGCCCAAGACCAGAGCCTGCACCCCAACCCCTTATCCCAGCTGGTGAAAGTGAGTGAGCAAAGGGGATGGAGTGAGCAGGGGCAGGGCCTCAAAGAAGGGGCAGGAAGGAAGTGGAGCAAGGGTATTTGGGTTAGAGGTAGATCTTACATTGCACTTAAATAAAAAAAATTGATCTTGTGCTTAAAAAGGTTGGAGACCACTGACTTACAGGGAGAGATATTAATGATACATGGATATTTGCAATATTCATAGGCTGATGATCATAAATCCCACATACAGCTAGAATAATGAGGCTTGATGCTAGTCCCTTTTCCTTATAACAGGTGCCTATCTAACCTCTTAAATACCTCCAGTGATAGATACCACAACCTCCCTGTAAGATGGCTAAGTGATCTTTTCTCTGCCTAATTCAGAGGAGGGTTTTGAATCCACATCTACTATCTCATAGATGAATGCCTTGATCACCTAGTTACAGAATTATTCTCATACTCTCCCTCTTTTTTGGGGTGGCAGGGTTGAAGGTATACTTAAGTATTTCCACAAAGTGGAACTACTACAATAGGAGAAACTGAGAACAGCTCACCTGCTAATAGCCTATAGCAGAGTCTTCAAACTGGTGTGCTCCCCAGGGAGCATGGAGGAACATCTGTGGAGGCATGGTGGGGATAGTGCCACCCAGCCCCTCTCCCAGCTCTGCTCCATACCCTCAGCCATGGCCTCGGCCCTTGGTACTGCATCTGGCCCTATCCCCAGGCTTGGTCTGGCTATGTTCCTGGCCCTGGCCCGACCCCCACCTCAGTCTTGACCCCTTGGTGCTCCCAGCCCCAGACTCACCTCCAGCGTTGGCCCCGTATTCCTGTCCATGTTCTCGGCCTTCCAAGATGTGGACCTGCTCCTAGATCCTGATCTGGAGGAGATGTGAGGGGATGCAGAGTGGAACAAACGGGGCAGAGCCCTCAAAAGTTTGGGGCCCACTGGCCTATAGCCTACTGGTTAGGGAGAATTCTGAGTTCAAATCTCAAGTTCCCACACAACTTTCCTAGCTACAGATCTACAAGTTATAAAGTGGGAACACACTCTATTTGCTAGCCTTGAAAATCTCTTCCCTTGCCAAAATGGGCACATGGAATTGGCTTCCAGCCAAACAAAAACTGATTTTTTTTTCAGCAGATGAATTATTTCCTCCAAAACTGTGCCTGGTTCTTATAGTATATGCTGTGTACCTATGCAAACCCTATGCAAGCATCACTGTCCATTGGACTATGTAAGTGCAGATTCAGTTGCTATTTCCATATCCCAGGTACTATAGTCCCTCCACATCAGCACACTCCTGGCTGGCACAGAGTACATTTCCCTGATGCCCCCTGTGTCTTCACATCCCTTTCTCCCAAGCCCAGGCGTATCTTGTGTAGGCCTTTCATCAAAGGAGGAGTTCCCCTGAAGTGAGTGGGTGTTGAGCTCCGCCACCTCTTCCTGACCTACTTCCAATAGGAACACAGTCCTAGAGCTTTGCACAAGTGATAAGAACACTGTTCCATTAACACATGGTAAACACACTGCCAAATGCTGAAAGAACAAAGGAAATGGCATCAGAAAAGCAAAGCAGAAGAGCTGGACAAGAGGAATTCAAAGTTATATTTCACTTGCAATGTCTGGTTGTATGTGTGTTCCAGTCCCCATTTCAGGCCTATTCTGCAGCATAATGGTCCTGCTCAAGCAAGGGACTTAATCATGTGCCTCACTTTGAACACCTGAGTATTACCAAGACAATGAAGCAGCGAGGTACCATTGCAGAGGTGTCTCACATGCTTACAGTGAACAGAGGCTTTGCTAGGTGGTAGCCTACATGAGTTCCCCTCCTTTTTCTTCACATTCAGAGCACTGGCTGTTTTGAAAACTGCATCTTACAGTACATTGAAAATGAAGCTCGGGTTACGTACATTGATGAGACGGAAATGCTTATATTAACCAAAGGTGTTTTGCAGGCATTTTCTAATACAATGCTTATGAATGTTCTTAACTCTACATGGCAATGGTCCCGTACTTGCTCACACATGTAAAGTTAAGCATGTGCGTAACTGTTTGTAGGATCAAGGCTTTTGTGTTCAGCAACTCACACAAGGCACTAAGCACCTTGCAGGGTTGGGCCCTAATTTCTGTGGGATGTGTAAGAAGTTGCTGTGATAAAATCAACCTCGGGGCAGACTGTTAAAAAAAAAAATCTAGGGCCCCAACCCCAAATTGGTCATGAGTTCTAAACTAAGATTTCACCAACCAACTCCACTAAGTGCAAGCAAGCACCTCAGACACGTAATCTTACATGGAGTCAAGAAACAGGCCTGCTGACGAGGGAAAGGGGGGGGGGAAAGAG